AGATATGCACACACACATACACGTGTGCACACACACACGCTCTACAGCCTCTCTTTTAAAAAAAAAAAAAGTAGTAAAAACAAATCCTGTGGCACGTGTTCCTGAACTGAATTAAGAACATGGTTCCTGGAGAATGGGATATATCTTCCTCACCCATTATCCAACCAAAATTCTGTCCTTAATATTATGTGTGTGTGCCTTTGAGTCCGTTTTTTATTCCTGGTGACTGCCTGGACAAGTCCCTACAGTTTTCAGGGTTTTTTCAGAAGTGGTTTGCCATTGCCCCCTTCCTAGGGCTGCAAGATAGTGACTGGCCCAGGGTCACCCAGTTAGCTTCACGCCTAAGGTGGGACTAGAACTCACAGTCTCCCAGTTTCTAGCCCAGTGCCTTAACCACTATACCAAACTGGCCCTGTCCTTAACATCAGCTGATCCTAAATGGGCCACTGCAGGAAACTGCACCTTTGGGAGTCAACAGTGTCAGGTTTTATCAGCAAAAGGGTGAGGCAATGTCTGGCTATGTCTCTGGCTGCTTTTATTGAAGTAAGAGTGTTGCAGTGAGTCAGGGTTGCATGTTGTATTATAGTTTATAATCGGACAAAACACTAGCTTGTCAAAATGGACATGACAGAATTATTAATTTAATATTTTCCTTATTTGATTTCTAGGCTATGATCAATCTAAATGGCCCGTAAAAAAACAATTTCATAAAAAGTGCTCATTTTTATGTATGAAACCATTTCTGGATCCAGAACAAGTTAATTATGCTTAGATCTCTCTGAAGTCAATCTCACAATGAATCATAGCCATTTATGTCCCACTGACTGGTAATCAAGCAATCGATCAACACTGATAAATTGCTGTGAAACATAATTTACTAAATTAGCTCTATCTATTACTTTCAAAGCACAAACTAGTCAAGTTTTATTCAAGAATCTCATACTTTCACTCAATTATGTACTAAATGTTTTGCCACTAGGTGGCTCCTTTGCATATAATTAAAGCACCATCATAGTAGCAATTTCACAGATAAAAAAGCAGTATAAGCCTATCCACTATAGCAAGTGTGCTTATATAAACATCAGTGATCTTATATGTTAGCTACTATATATGGCTGTAGAAACAGAAGCTTTCTTACGCTATTCATGCCTGCCCATACTGAGCATGAATACTGAGATAGTTACTCCCTCCGTTATGGTGCCTTTTCTGTCTTTTAAAAGTTAACTTGTTCTTCCATAATAAAACACATACATGTGTCTATAATCAAGAAATCAGTACGTTTTATTTCACAATTTTACTTTAATTTCTCTGGAAATGTATAGTTTCAATATACAATTAAGTATTTTATATGACTGAGGGGGTGTCCTCAAAGGGGAGGATTAAAAAAGTCAAGATGGCAACCACAACCAGGTAGTCAAAGCCCCACTTTTTTATATATGCATATTGCTATTAAAGGAGGTCCTCCTGTTGCAGGAGGTCACCTGTTATGAGTTGCTAATCAACTGGGTAGCCCCATACATCAAATTAATAAATACAATAAATAAATGATCCAAGGAGTTATTGTTCAGATAGTAACAAAACGAGCAAGCCACTCACCCCTTCTCTGAGCTGCTACAACAAAGGAGGAATAAAAACATAATAATGAAGTAACCTAAATAATATCTCTATTGCTTCTTTGTAGAAAGTCAGGGTAATCAAATAAAGATACCTTAACTTCCATGAGACTCCCTAGACTCACTCTGCCAAATGACCAGATTTTTTTTCACATATCCACTGGCCAATAAACTTTGTTTTGATCAGAATTCAGATGGGTCTTTGAAGCTACCCATTCATTTCTCCTTCATAATTCCTCTTTTTTTCTTCTTTTGCTCGTCTCATTTTAACTCCACAATTACTTAAATGGCAACTCCCTCCACCTTTAATTTCTTCCATTCTTGTCCTCCTATACCCTTTTCAATCCCTTGACCACACAGGCTTCCATCTTTTTCACCTGCCAATGTTCACCTCATAGTTCACAAGTGTAAAACTAGCATTTAATTTCATTTTCTCCACAGATGCATAAGCAAAGCTAAGCTGCTATTTATTCTCCACAAAACGCATAATAACAGGACTCTTTTAAGACACGACATGCTGGCTTGCTTCATTATTAATATATCCACCAGGGGACAGACCCAAATCCTGTATATCACAAAGACGCAACGTCTTCTCTATCTTGACCTCTGTTCTCATCTACTTCACATTCTTCATAGAGATGTTGTCAAGGATGCAATTTCCTGGCTCCAAATATAACCCTCGCCAACTCATAACACTTGTAATTAGTTTGAGGCAATAAGGAAAGCAGTGTTGAGTTCCTCTCAGCTAAGGCTACAAGCCAAAGAGAAACTTCTGTTTTTCCCCCAGGAACCTGCTGGAATGTTTCAATGATGCCAGGTAACTTGGAAATTTAAATTTTTCCAGGGTACCTGAGATCCATGCACAGGGCTTAGGTGTTCACCAAGAGAGACAGATGTGGAAAGGGTCAGGTCCTTTACATCATTTCCAAAGAGGTAAAAAATTACACAGATGATACCCTCAGAGAGGTTTGCCCTACATCAGATCTGTTATCTTTCCAGTAACTGTATGTGGCAGTATACAAGTTTGATAAACAAACTGATTTGGTTTTTATCTATTTTACTATTTTTTAAAAATACTTTATTATATTTTTTGTATCTTGTTAGCCACAAAGAATCCTGTGATTTGATTAATAATAAATTAAAAAGTTAAGATCTTTTAATTTGCCCAGGTGTAGCAGTATGTCACCAAGTTTTAATTTATGGCTTCAGTTAAAACTGGCTTCTCTGTGCTTCTGTAGATTTCTGCTGACATGCATTTATTATCATTTTTATGATTCTAGGGATTCTAGTAGAAGACCCTGATAGAACAAAGGGAGAGATTTTCTCTAGATATCTTAAGTTATTTCCTATCATTTTTTGCTGTATATGACTAAAACAAGGAAGAAAAATATAGACATGTTTCTTCATAAAGCATACTTGTAGAGTCTGTTGCTACCAAGGCAACAAGATGAATTAGACATTGAAGAAACTCCTGTATTCCCATAATCTGACATACTGATAACTTGATCTAATATAACTTTGGATGACATATCTAGAGAAATCCTAACCCGTTATTTTCACATTATTCCAAACTTGTTGCTGGAATGTAATTCAGACCTTAATAACAGTACCCAGTTGGTTTCTTCCTACCACATCCTATTAAGGTATAATGTTTAATTCTGCTTACATATGATATTCAGTCCCAGCACACTGCTAATACTTTCCAACTGCATAATTATAAAATATTTTTAATACCTACAACTGAATATGTCTAAGGTGAGTTATAGTTAAGGGCAAAAAGTTGAAGACTACCTTAAGACAAACTTTAATCAAATGACAACTATGGGACAACTATGGACTATGGACACTTCCCAGCTTGCCTATCACCCTGGATTCAGCAAACATAATTGTTAATGGTATATTTGTTTCATGAGCTATATAACTTTCCAATTAACATCTATCCATGCAAATTAACACAAAATAATATTATGTAAATTATTTTGAATCAAAGACAGGGGAGAAGGTAAAGGTTCTCCCATTCTTCAATTCATGATGGTTACAGGGACATGGAGCTTGTCTTTCTTGCCTTTTACACAAATCTTACAAGTAGGGGAGAGGGAAACACTTGGGTCTACTGGGTAGTTATGTACATTTACAAATTTCATATACAATATATAATTAAATAACAAACTACCAATATTTTATACATCTATTCTAAGTATTCACAAAAAAGTAGGAAGCTAAATACAAGTATCAAAGAGAAAACATACCACTTCTATTTCCATTCTCTTCATCCTGTAAAAGATGCAGAAAAATCCAGAGTCACTGAATAAAAACAAAGAAACTCTTTGTAGCTAAGCTTTTGAAAGCCATTTCCTTCAAACTGTTCTGGAGTGACTTAAGATAGTAGTAAATTAGACAGAATTGCAAGAACCACTTATAATTTTGATTTTGCATAATTGTGTATTTCCATAAACCATCTCAACATTCTTAATTTAAATATTTATTAATGAGGCAACTGGCTGACAACAGAAGTGATCAAAGAAAGTCATTCTGAAAATTACTTTTTATGGCAGTGATTCATGTTAAAATTTTAACAAGAAATTAATTGCTAAAGTTCACAGTTCAAAGGAAACCGGATAGGACATCAAAGCTATCTGAGTTAGATGTGCCATTATGACTGGTGTTATATATAGTAATCAGCAATATCTTGCCATGATTTGTAATAGAACCCTTTCTCAGCCCTATCTAGAAATACCAAGATACCAGGGACTGAACCTTGGACTTTGCACATTTTTTTTTTAGTTATCTACTTCAGACTCTTCACTAGATTTATTTAACATTCTTCTCTGTTATTTAAAGTATATTTAGCATTAAGAAAATACTAGGCTCATTATAATGGCTGCTACACTTTTATTTCTTCAGAAGATTCATATGGCACCTGTGGGCTGTTTACAATTATATGTTAAAACATCCATAAAGCAATTATTAAAAGATTAAGAAGAAAAATATAAAAACTACAACATTAACATTAAAAGGCTATTATGCTTTGAGCACCCTCTTAAACTGCAGTAAGCAGGCAGCTTGCTTCAACTTCAGTGGTAGTTTGTTCCACAGTACTGGCCCTGACACAGAAAAAAATTGATTTATTGCTCAAATACCTATGTGACAGGAGGTGCAAAAGATGCTCCACTAATGAGAGTAGGCAATCCTGCAAAAGGCTTGGGGCTGATGTAACATAAGCATTTCATTTTTTTTTTGAACTGCATTTCAGAAATTAAGCTCTATCAGTATTATTCCCATTATGATACCATTTATCTCTCATATGTGGAACTGAGGCAAAGTCTAACTAGGTTTAAGGAGTCTAAATTACTTGAATATTGGAAGTATTTAAAAACCTAATTGGCAAAGAAACTGCACTCTTCACAAAACAGCAATTCATTTGTCCTAACCTTCACATATGTACTGTGAAATAAATTCCACTGTGTTAAATGGGTTTCTCCCAAATTAAGAGCAATAAGACAAAGAACAAGACACTTCTGTGTAAAACTACTGTTAAACTGGAATACCCGATCTGGCAATCTAACTACAAAGAATTTCCCTGTGACATTGGTAAACTATTTTTGATTACAACTCTCTTGTATTCTTATAACTTTGAAATTTTATTCATAATTCATTTTACTCACTTTTAAAGAAAACTGAATAGCAGATTCTGGGGGGTAAACAATAAAATGTCTTAAGGTAAAGCCAAAGCCTTGTGATGTTCTTCGTAAAACTACCATTTTGGGTCCAGGCCAAGAGAAATTTTCTTCATCCTCTGACAAGGACACTGCTTCACTTTGCTCTTTTCCATCTTTATTTTTGGACACCTAATGAGAGAGAGAGGGAAAAAAACCAGTTTAAAGTCTTTAATTTCATGCAGTTCATTATGTTATTGGAAGCAGTTTTACTCATGCAAATGGACCTGTGCAAAAGACTTTTGCAAATGTATCTATCTTTGCTGGCCAATAAATTACAGGTCAAACGGCGCTAGGAAAATAGAAAATGACCTTATACTAGGTCATTATTTGCCAATTACTGTTACAGGAGGTATAGGAAGCCACAGGGAGAGATACATAAAGAATACTTAAATCAATGTTGGTATCTAGGAATTTATATTACAGTTCTCCATGCCCATATTTTCAATTTATTTGACAAAATGATATTGCTAATTTTTTAAAAATAACAAAATAGGAGCACATGAATGAGAAAAAAAAACTACAAAAACCCAACAGCTAATGTCTGCAAAATGCATATTGTATAGGTCTGTTTAACATCTTTTCTAATTGACAGCATGTTATAATGGTCTGATTCCAAGTAAAGTTTTCTATGACCAATCTTATTTAAACTAATGTAAGACATTAACTAACAAACTTCTCATAGCTTTTGATCAGTAACTATTCTTACTAAGAAGTAAATCCTACTGATCTTAGAAAGCTTGTTAAGGATTTGTATGCAGTCTTAGCTGGATTTTAGCCAAATAAAGAAACACTCATAGGAAATTTATTAGTGCTTAAATCATGGCTTATAAGTCTTCATTGGTTTTGCTAGCTATACCAAAACTGTAGTCAACACTCCCTCTGCATATAACTGTCAAGCTCCTCTTTGGATATTTTCAAGTGAAAGGCCAACAAAAAGCATGCATAACTAGCTACTCCTGCCCAAAGGAATTCTGCACACCACTGGGTAGTGGTGTCCATTGGCCTACCCAGTCTGATATTCCCACCCCTTATTTTCACCATCTTTCCCCTGTGGGGGGAAAAATGACCACCATGATGAATTATGAATTTTAATGTGTCTGGCCAAGGATATTTGTAAGCTTTAGCCATGACAATTTATTGTTGCCACCAAATCATACCAGAAAACAGCCTCCCTCAACCTGGCAGATTCCAGATATACTGGGTATGCAACTCCTAAATCTCCCAGCCAACCTGGCTAAAGGCAAAACTGGCTAAGATCTTGGAGATTTGTAGAATCAGTACATCATAAAGTTGCCAGACTGGGGAAGGCTTCTCATCTAGGTAAGGGAAGGAATGTATTTCTTATATATCACATATATTTTGTTAACATTTTGTTCTAGACTCAATGTTCGAAATGCAATCACTGCAGGTTTATAGCCTAAATAATACAACCGAGTTTATGCTCCTTCTGATACTTCTTTTCAATTAGCTAATACTATCAAATATAACTTCATTCTATCTCTACCTTGACTCACTTATTCTCTGCAAGCAACTGTCATTTGGATGGCAGCTGCTTTACCAGAGTTTTTAAACTCAAAACCTCTCTGCTTTTCCTCTTCTGCCAACTTCCTTCCCTTCAGGAACCTGGCAAAACAGTAATGAAAAGCTATTCACAAAGTGGCTCACAAACAACACATTCTGTCACTGAAGGGATGCAAAACAGAAATGAAAGCAAAGCAGTAAATAAGAATGCTATTATGCAAATTAAAAGAATACAACTAATGTTGTTGAGAAGGTATCTGATTGCATTTATTCTGCTTTATTATAATCTTCTCTAAGATATTATAAGCTGCAGTTTTTGGTTTCAAACCCTAGAAATAAATAAATATGTATGATATAAATTTTATAACACACACACACACACACACAAATTTATAGAATTATAGATTTATACTGTATCTAATAAATGTGTGTATATAAATGTGTGTGTATGTGTATATATAGACATTAAGATTACAGATCATTAAATTCATGTTTTTCTCTTATTATGAACCACCCAGATAATATCAATTAAATAAGAAGGGGGGGGTGTACCATGAATATAGTTGTACAGAAACTATTGTTTATTTTACCTGAGCAATACATACACTCTCCATTTATTACAGTGCAACCTTCTTTTCCTATCAAAAAATAGGAAAAATGCTGTAAAAAGCAAGTTTCCTCTGAGTCAAGTATGATTTCTTGGATATGTCCACATCCTTTTCTTGGCAACACATAGGAATAGTTTGCCCTGCCTTCTTCCAATGTGCTTTTTGACTTCCCAACCTAGCAGGATTTTCTTGTCCTGACCAAATGCAACCCTGTTTAACTTTTCAAGATCACAAAGAGGATGCTGGGTGCTTCCACTTAGCTAGACAGCTTTACATGTGCAAATGGTTTATAAAATAGTTCTGTGGTTATGTGCAGTGGCTTCCACCAGAAATGAAAATACAAAATGTAGCTTAATTATGCTGAGTGTCCTTTCTCCTAAGATATCCAGAGATCACAAGGTATTTAAATCAGAAATGAAAAGGGAACAAACTGTTAGAATAAAGGTTGCTATGTATACTAGTTTGCTCAAGGGGCATGAATGATCACATTCATTTTACAATTTACCCTAGGCTAAACTGTACTGATTTAAGCAAAATGTAAAAAGTCTGCTGACTGTGAACTCAAGTAACCTGGAATTATATTAAATCCAAAATAGGAAACTGGAGTTTTATTATACTGTAACAGCATCCCTGTGGACACATGATCAAAATTCGGGCACTTGGCAACTGGCATGTATTTACGACAGTTGCAGTGTCCTGGGATCACATGACCACTATTTGCGATCTTCCCAGGGGATTTCTGACAAGCAAAGTCAATCAGGGAAGCCGGATTCACTTAACAACCGTGTGATTCACTTAATAATTGGGGCAAAAAGGTCGTAAAATCAGGCACAGCTCACTTAATGACTGCATCACTTAGCAATGGAAGTTCTGATCCCAATTGTGGTCGTAAATCAAGGACTACCTGTAATCCTCTAAGAGGGAATTATTTGTAACAAAGCAAAATAACAGTGAGATCTGAAGCATTAGATGTCAAGCAACAAGAGTTGAAACACTATAACATATTTCTCCTGTCAAGTCTTTTCATGCTGCTTCCAACCTAAGATAGGCAGTCATTAGCAGAAGCCACATGGAAGAATTCACTTCAGAGAATCACTGTGAAGAAACTACTAGGTTAAAAATGTCGTAGAGAAGGTCAGCTGAAGTGCTGAATGGGATAGGAAATGTGGTAGAACTTGAGTTGGAAGAGATTATTCCTGAAATCTGTGTGAAGCCCACAGAAAGTATTTTTGACACATTTTCAGCCCTCACTTTCTTCCTCATAACACCATGATTTATCTCAATCAGCATAGGGAGTGCGTAAGAAAAATCCACTTTTCTTAGATCAAATGCATAAATCGGGATTCAGACTAAAATCCTTACTTTATTCATACATTGCATCACAGCAGATCATCTTAGTATATTACTGTATAAACTGATATTGGTCTTCAACTTTTATTATTTATGGCAAAATGGACAGTGCCAAAAGACTATAGAAATTATGGTTCAATTTTTTTGAAATGCAGAAAGTAGTTCTAATGAAGTTACCCAAGAGTAACCTGGGAACACTTTAGTTTAATGCAACTTGGTTATATATTGAAGCAATTAATTTGACTAAAAAAGTTATGTCCTAGCATTCTGATCATTTAACCAAAGGATTTGTACAAAAGTACATGCAGTCTTGATTCATTTCTCTAGCCGGCAATAGTCAGGGTCAAAGAATTTCCGTCATGGCATACTTCCAAGTCTCTCAGGTATTTGCATATGGAAGGAAACACCTTGAGCTACAATGGAAAATATGTCAAAGTGTACTGTACTATAGCACAAAACTACCATTCATCTCTTACACTCCCACACAAAGAAGCAGGGATTTTAGAGTTTTCCTTGAACATGGCTAGGTAAAATTTAGTTGTAATTTTAATGGCAAGTTTAAGAATCAATATTATTTGAAGGCTCACTGAGTATCCATTTAAACATATATAGTCTTAGAAAATTATTTTAATGTATGAATGTATTTCACCACAATCAATGTATTATATGCTGCTGTTTATTTAAAGCCATTTGCAAGCAAAAATTGCATGTAGAATACTGAAAGAGCTGGCACAAAAGGAGTGGGATAGTCCCTTCCTCCACTGTTGCCAGTGCAGAAACTAAGCAGCTGTCAGGGGAGAGGAATGCCGCTCTTGTACCTAGCATATAAATACAGCAAGTTGAACACTCTTTCAGCACCTAACAGGCTAGTAAACATTTTGTTTTTTGCAAAGATTGGAGGAGCTACTTACAACCAAAGGATACTACTATTATAAATAAATCCTGTTTAACATTTATGTATCTAAAGGGTTAGGGGAACGCGGTGGCGCAGCGGCTTAATGACGCTGAAAGTTGGCAGCCAGAAATGGTCGACACTTCAGCGGTTCGAGTCCAGCCTTCGCGTTAACAGGGAGAGCTCCTGTTTCCTCCCCAGTTCCTGTCAACCCAACAGTTCGAAAACTCACATGAGTAGATAAATGGGTACTCTCACTCCAGTGGGAGGAAAAATGCTGGCGGCGCCTTGCAAAGGATGGGTACTCTCACTCCAGTGGGAGGAAAAATGCTGGCGGCGCCTTGCAAAGGATGGGTACTCTCACTCCAGTGGGAGGAAAAATGCTGGCGGCGCCTTGCAAAGGGAGACGGGAGCAGTTGCCGGTAAGCACGAAACTGCGCTCGCCCGAAAAAGGGCACGAAGCAACGGAAGCCCCACCTCCTGCGCTCGCCAGCTGGGGTCTGCTCTAGGAAGGAGGCACTGGCAAACCACTTCCGAAACACCTTGCCTTGAAAACTGCAAGGGCTCGTCCAAGTAGTCACTGCAGAGTCGGGTATGACTGAACGCAGATTTTAAAAAAAAAA